ATAAAAACACAAATTTTATTAGTTTTTAATCACACTTAAAAGATGTGATCTAAATGTTTTTAATTACACTTAAAAGGTGTGATCTAAATGTTTTTAATCACACTTAAAAAGGTGTGATCTAAAGTCTTTAATCACACTTAAAAGGTGTGAACTAAAGTTTTTAATCACATTTAAAAGGTGTGATCTAAATGTTTTTAATCACACTTAAAATGTGTGATCTAAATGTTTTTAATCACACTTAAAAGGTGTGATCTAAATGTTTTTAATCACACTTAAAAGGTGTGATCTAAATGTTTTTAATCACACTTAAAAGGTGTGATCTAAATGTTTTTAATCACACTTAAAAGGTGTGATCTAAATGTTTTTAATCACACTTAAAAGGTGTGATCTAAATGTTTTTAATCACACTTAAAAGGTGTGATCTAAATGTTTTTAATCACACTTAAAAGGTGTGATCTAAATGTTTTTAATCACACTTAAAAGGTGTGATCTAAATGTTTTTAATCACACTTAAAAGGTGTGATCTAAATGTTTTTAATCACACTTAAAAGGTGTGATCTAAATGTTTTTAATCACACTTAAAAGGTGTGATCTAAATGTTTTTAATCACACTTAAAAGGTGTGATCTAAATGTTTTTAATCACACTTAAAAGGTGTGATCTAAATGTTTTTAATCACACTTAAAAGGTGTGATCTAAATGTTTTTAATCACACTTAAAAGGTGTGATCTAAATGTTTTTAATCACACTTAAAAGGTGTGATCTAAATGTTTTTAATCACACTTAAAAGGTGTGATCTAAATGTTTTTAATCACACTTAAAAGGTGTGATCTAAATGTTTTTAATCACACTTAAAAGGTGTGATCTAAATGTTTTTAATCACACTTAAAAGGTGTGATCTAAATGTTTTTAATCACACTTAAAAGGTGTGATCTAAATGTTTTTAATCACACTTAAAAGGTGTGATCTAAATGTTTTTAATCACACTTAAAAGGTGTGATCTAAATGTAATTAATCACACTTAAAAGGTGTGATCTAAATGTAATTAATCACACTTAAAAGGTGTGATCTAAATGTAATTAATCACACTTAAAAGGTGTGATCTAAATGTAATTAATCACACTTAAAAGGTGTGATCTAAATGTAATTAATCACACTTAAAAGGTGTGATCTAAATGTAATTAATCACACTTAAAAGGTGTGATCTAAATATTATCAATCACACTTAAAAGGTGTGATCTAAATGTTATCAATCACACTTAAAAGGTGTGATCTAATGTTATCAACCACACTTAAAAGGTGTGATCTAAAGATTTTTAATCACACTTAAAAGGTGTGATCTAAATGTTATC